CCGCAAAAATGCCGCAAGACTTTTTTGACAACCTCATATATAAAGATAATAAAAAAAATTTTCGACGGAGCTATCTAAGGTCGCAAAGTATGGCACTAGCTAGAGTCACTTCAATGATAAGGCGAACTTTGAAACTTTTACCTTACTTCTCAAAAATAGCCTAGTTCTCAGAATACGGCTATAAATCATTTTACTTAACCTATAAGAAAATTCTGCTAGCTCTAATTACCTGTTTCACCTTAGATTACAGGAAAATCGGAAGCTTTGAAAAAAAAATGAACGGTATTTCAGCATAACCCAAAGATGATTCCATAGAACCGAAAAAATATGTAAATCCAATTTTATTTACAATTTTATTTACATATTTTAGTCTTCAGTGCTGGTTTGAGTCTAACTGATATTTATGAGAGTTTAATAATTTTTGATCTAGACGATAAGTTTTAATGTATAACTTTCCTAGCAGCGCAAGAACTAATCAAAAGTTTGTATTAATTTCCGAAATATTTTGAGTTCTTTCGAATTTTCTTTATTTGCACAACTTGATTTGTATCAGCGTCACTTTGATTTATATGCACTATGTAATCTCTCTCTTATTCGCACATACTAATTATATAACAAAACGGTTAAAAACTTTAACTTAGTTTGCACGATTTAACCCCTTTCTTTACCAGACGCCATTATAATTTCTGCAATGAAATTTGCTTCATGGATACGCTCGAGTTACAGTATAATAAGCAAGCTCTTTGATCATTTTTCTATTTACTTGAGTGTAAAACCTTTGCAGGTTGACGTGTAAAATGGCAKATCTTAAAAGTACAAACATCCTACTGTCACTCGATAACTTGATAGGAACATAAGTAATTGGAATACTCACTGGTATCAGTGTGGTGGCGGCACACGCCTTCAGAATGGAGCTGTCAGATGTCGAAATATTCAGAATATGTCAAGGMCAAGGGACCAAGGAAACAATGGAAACAACCATGCTTTAAGCATTTGGGGGCTCCACGTTGTAATACACTGGAAGATGTATCRATAGTCAAGCCACAGCGTCTATTGAAATTTACGTCGAGCACAGGCATCCCTAACAATRACTACACCTCATGGATCGCGTAACTGATCTCCACCTGGTATAACATGAGACCAATCCACCAGATTAACCAAAACTCACTTTACTTATGTATATAAATGGCACAGTATACGAAAAGTCTGCCATGGTTGTCGTCAAAAGGAAGGTCTCTTTTTCGAAGTTGCTGTTTATTTTTCATTGGAGAATTTTTTTACGTGACGGGTCCCAAACCCAACGCACAACCGTGGGAAGGGGTGGTACCGCTTCACACTTTAGTTCGCCTTCAAACGGTTGTTCTTGGGCTACCCAGCAGAACCTTGGTCTAAGACCAGAAGTCGTGAACTGCTTGAGGCATATGTAAAAGAATTGTTTCTAGCCAGTGAATGGCATATAAATGAACTTTCCTCACTTGCGTGAACTTCTACACATGACTTCGCTACTTCGGACTGAGTAGGCAATTGAGAAGTAAACTCCTCACTCGACGAACAAAGACCAAACTCTATAAGTCACTCATTATTCCAGTTATGCTATGTGSGACAGAGGCATGTACGATGAAAATATCTGACGAGTCGATGTTAAGAGTTTTTGAGAGAAAGGTTCTGCCGAAACTTTACAGACCTGGCTGGGTCACGACCTTCGTATGGATGAAAACACGCCAGCTCTGAAAGTGTTCTACATACGGTGTTTATGCTAGTAAATAAGAAAAATATATGAAACGTCACAAATTGAACAATAAAGAAGAGAAAATTGTTATTTTAGTTTCTCTTCATAAACTCGGAAAAAAATTCTTTTCGTTAAAATATTATTTCGCCTTAATGAAGCAGTATATTTCTCTCAGTGTAGTTATCACACTCTGCGRAACTGACGTTGCCATAGAACTTGCGATAATCCATTAAAGACGTCATATTTCGAACTAACTTGTCTGCCATTTGACACTCATGAGTCTGCTGGCTGGTGACACCGGTTTATTGAGCTGCTAATTGCAGCTAACCGAAACCACCTCAACTGCGCTGTTTCTATTAACGGTCAGTGGAGTCCACGGAGCGCAGTTGGTGATAGAATCCAATGCAGCGGAATGTGAAGATTTTTCTTTTCGAAAACAACAACTACAACTGATAGCAATAGAATTAAATTTTGAATTGATGGTTGCTATCGCATCGTGTGGAAAGAAGCGGATCTCGTTTTCTTAATGTACTCATATGGAGCCATAAATATTTTGTGCTACTGTGAGACATTAGCACAGTTACGTGATCTATTCAACGTGCGTCTGCGCCAGGATAAGAATTAAATTGSCGGGCTGCTCAAATAACTAAGTCCAAATGGAAAAGGTCATAAACTGTAACGCACACAGCTGTCGCTCAATCGGGTGTCTTTACGACTATTTGACTATTGCAATGTTCTAACGACGCAATAACTGCGCGCCACGCTCGAGTGTAGGCACTTACCTGCCTTAAGGTGCAATAAAAAAAAGTGTGAGAAAAGAACAGCGCATGCGCACGCGTAGGTAGTTAGAACATGACGGAAGCAAACAGAGCTGTAAAGTAAATAAAACAGCAGGGTTTTGGAGAAATCCATAAACATTTATAATCTATTTCCAATACATTTGTAGCCAGTAAGACCGGAATTTTCATTAACTCCTTTAGCATAGCGCTACATACATTCAGACACATGCGTATGGCAGCTGTTGTATGAAAATATATATAAGAATACTTGCTGGCAGTTGGAATGTAACAGTTTCCCACAAAACCGCAAGGCAAGCGCACGGTTTCTTAACAACAAGAAAAAATTCAAAAAATCTTCAAACTCAAACATTTCAAGCAAAAACCAAAAATTTGATAAAAACCGTAAGCAATTTGTCGTGTGTTCGCGCTAAAGTTCTAACGAAACTCGMGTCGTCATTCGTTTTGCACTAATTAGCGATGTCATACGAATTAAAGTGCACGCTTGTGATATTTATTKTTGKGTTTTGCTGTAATTACTTCGCTTCGGCTGCGGCATATCCCTGGCAAGCCGATCATGAGGGTTATGACGCCAGCTTGGATCCGGTCATTTGGTCACGCGCCTTCGTTAAAGACAATATACGTCGACCCCGACAAYATGCGACATTTCCCGCTGCGGCCGGCGAAAATAACGAAGTGCAATTGAATAATCGCTTTTACGAATTCCAACAACGCTTCGTCGACTCGAATCGCGCCGYAAGCGATATTTTGCGCGATGAAAAGCGTCGTGTGGAAAGTTCGGCTCATATTGGCGAACGTCGCACTGGCGCATTGACGGCGGAAAACCAGTGGAACACAATTGCGCATGCCAAGTACAGATCGAGAAATAACCGTAAGTCAAGTCTGAATCGTTCGAAGRCGSAAGCCAGAAGAAAACGCAATCACAAACGTTAAATAATTAATCGAACATAGTGTACGCATGTTTGTATGAGTTATGTTGTAGTGATTATCAAATTTTTGTATTGATTATGTGCTAGTTAATTTGTTAAAAGAATAATTATTGTGTCAATAATTGTAACTATTTATTGCACAAACTTTAAATATGAAATCTAAATATAAATGTTAAAACTTAAGTGCAATTTTTTATAAATTGATTAGAAAATATATGCAAATAATTGTTTATTTAAAAAATTTTAGTCAAATAAAATATGACTTCAGTCCCTAAAATCCAAATAATTATTGCTTTTTGATTCTTAGTACATAATTATTTGAACTACTATTTAAATCTGACGCCTGCTATACATTDTGACAAAAAAGTACCTGGAAATTGTCAAAAAAACGTAAAAAATTGGATTAAWCATCAATATTTATTTGTTTCATCTCTTCGATCCACTAAAGACGGGTTCCTCACGGTTTTCAAGCACCAAACTCATTACTTTTTTGATGTTTTCATCAGTTGAAGAGGTATGTCTTCAACCATCTCTCGACTGTCTTTGAAGGCTTGGTATCACTTGTAGGCAAGTTCTTGTCCTATTTTGTATACTTTCGACAGAAAGATACACTGTTATTAACAAAATATGTTCTGCCTATTATATTTATATAACTGTTCGACCATAAATTGATCATTACCTGATTTATCTTTTTACATTAAGTGCTTAAATCACCATAAAGTGAAAAATCAGATGAATTTTTACAATTTGATTATAAAAGTATAGGAAGTAGGCAAGGTTGTTGCAGGAGCTCGGTCATAATGTAACCTGAGAATTCTAAAAGAATCGTATATATTTGGTTGAAAGCAGTCGAGCAGGACTAGAGATACATATATGATTTCAACTAAAGGAGGACGSTGCCACGYMACGCTCTTCGTCCATGTTTGACCCCGGCTYCTATAAATGCTCTCCATACCATCACRKGGGTAAAATTAAATGTATCTGGCRTATTTAGTTATTGATTTATAGTGCTTTTAGTAGTTTTTAAGAGTAACATTWTTGGCGTGTGGGCGCACTTATCATCCGATTTGTCYATTTGTATAGAGTCAATGATTTGCTGAGCGAATATTTCTGTTTTAGCTTGAATGGTTTGGGTGATATATACATTGAATTTATTAAAGAGYGGGGCCACCACMACTTTTTAYTTATAATTGGCYCACCGGTGCCACTTATTACCGCGATCCCCTGCGGCGCGTTGCATATAATATTTTAAGTTATTAAGGCTCTTTATCAGTTTTCGGTTAATGGCGATTTCTGGGCGTGGCATGGTCCGATTATGCCCTGAAATTAGTATAGTATCGTAGAGATTCGGGCATTGAATAAGCGCAGCAGGTTGATAGTCGGTTAAATGAAATGATTGAACTTTAAACCCTATTTAATTATTTCTCTGTGTAAAATTTATWTACCAAATAATTGATTTGGCTTAACTTTTGGTTAGAATGTGTTAATGTTAGTGGGATTGCAGAGTTACATCTCGTAATTTAACCTTTGYCTTTGAAAAATATACATATGTACAAATCGGAGAGTAAAACCGGTGTTTGAACATGGCGTCAACTGTCGAGATTTTATTGTTATATAATTCCGCACATATATATGTAGGTCTATCCATCCAACTTAATTGGACTTGTAAGTTTTCAATTACCAGCTTATCATATTAGGGTGTCAAAAAAGTCTTGCGGTATTTTTTTATTGAATTTTCAATTGTTCATAAAATTTTTTTTGATGACTCATGCCCAGCTCTTGACCGATTCTACGGCTGCTACTATGCCGGTCTCTTTCGACCAATTCCTACATCAACATCGCGTACAAGGTTCTATCGAGCGTATTGTGTGAAAGATTAAAGACCACCGTCAACACTGTCTCTTATACACATCTAGATGTGTATAAGAGACAGGCTCTTGACCGACCTACGGCTGCTACTATGCCGGTCTCTTTCGACCAATTCAGCGATTTTATCGCAATTTTCGACGACAGACCTTCCGTAGCGTGACGCATCTTCGACCACCTCTACACCAGAACGAAAACGTTGAAACCATCGTTGTGCGGAGGAAATGGAAACTGTAGTAGTACTGTAAAATATGCCGTATTTTGTCTTTATTTTGCTCCATGTTTGYGACGCTATAACTCACGAACGACTTAAAAGAAACGACAATCAATCAAACGCGTGTAGCTTGTGAAATTAGCTTTCCAAAAAGGTATAGCATGACCCGATGCGACGAA